GGTTTACACCTGCCAAGTGACGCACACGAGCCGGATGAGCCCTATCACGGTGGAATGGAGTGAGAAGCTTTGTGACCTCATAAATTTCTCACCCAGCAGGAAGGGGGTTTGCTTATTCCTAGTGTCAGTTTCTCTTCTCCCCTCACCATATTTTTGTTTGCTGTATTGTTTCTTCTCCTTCAGTACAGGTCACTGGGGGTAGCCCTGTGAACAGCTTCTCCAAATACTTATACAACCTGAAGAAGCAATTATACTTGGCAGGCAGAAAAGAGGCTGTGAACCTTCCCATGATACTATAGGTCACGGTCACCCAGTTGGCTCTGGGTTTCAGACCCTGTCTCTGGGGCTGGGCTTGCATTTCTGATGCTGCTGCTCTGAGCTGTTCATTGTGATCTGAGAAGAGGAGCAATGAGGGGCCTTCCTGACGTGAGGGAGCTCAGTCTCAGCTCTGCCTTTTATTAGCTCTGTCATCCTAGACAAGCTATACTTAACCTCACTGAGTTCCAGACTCGTCATACATCAGATGTCATTTCAGGGCCGTGATATTTAATTGAGTTCAGTGAGTGAACCTTGTAGATACTCAGTGTGATGTTTTCAAATCTCTTTTCCAGAAAAGACAAATTATTCTAGCTCTTCTAGTTCAGGTTTCTTCCGCCATTCACAAATCACTGAATCTCAGGGTCTCAAATAGAGAAGTTAGACTTGGGATAAAAATCACTAAACTTGGCTTCTTCTCCCAGGGGCACAGTCTGAATCTGCACAGAGCAGGATGCTGAGTGGAATTGGGGGCTTTGTGCTGGGCCTACTGTTCCTTGGGGTGGGGCTATTCATCTACTTCAGGAATCAGAAAGGTAAGGAACCTGTTGGTAACTGAGACGACCCATAGACTTTACTGCAGGAAAAAACATGGCTTTGCTCAAGTTAGTCATCTGTGTAGCTATGGCCCTGTATAAAGCCTTTCTTTTCCCATTTGACCTCAGATTTCTTGGAAATCCAGAAATCAGCAATCCATGGTTAATGTGTCAAATCATAAGGGGTTATGACTTACAGAGGCAAGAGAAGGTTAACAAGCATAGAGATCTTGGGTAGAGAACCTGCGGCAAATGAAGGAAGAGCCATAAGGCTATTGAAATTACGCTGGATTTGTGTGACAGAAGCTTTGTAGGTTACACACTCTCAGTTTCTGCTGTCCTCTCTCCCCCAGCTGATGTGGGTTGTGGACTTAGAGAAAGCTAGGTGGAAGATTTGGGGCTGGGGACTTGTATGTGGGGACAAATTTGCCTCCATATTTTTTTAAAGTATGTATCTTCCCCTTTCTTTCCCAGGAAATTCTGGACTTCAGCCAACAGGTAATGCCCTTTAATCCTCTTTTAGAGATAGATTTGGTTTCCCTAGAATAGATGATAGAGGTGACAATACCTGACAAAGAAATAATAAGAAAGGAGTTCAGTTCAAATTTCTGATCAGGCGATTTATAATAAAGCTGCTTCTCTCCACTTAATAAAAGGCCTGTGCTCTAAAGAAGCATTGTCTCAAGGAGACGTAAGAATTTTTTTTTCTTTTTACTGTAATGCTATCACATAAGGTCCAAGAGAGGAAGAATTAACCTGTTTGTTGACTTAGGTCTGGAAACAGCATTCTCCCGTGTCTTCTGCAGGACTCCTGAGCTGAAGTGAAGATGACACCCGAGGAGAAACCTTCTGTCCCAGCATATTTGCAGCATGAAAAGGTTTCTTGCTTGGCTCTTATGCTCTCAGAAAGAGAGTCTTTCTCAGGACCTGGTTTGCTCCTGGTTCGGTGACCCTACAAAAAATGTCCTCCCTGGTGGCCTTCCTCAGCTTCTGCCCTTGGCCTGGAAGTCCCAGTGCTGACTGCAGTACCTGATCTTCATTCTTTCCCAGTCCCCTTTGTATTCAACCCTTAACTGCCCCCTGTGCATCTGAAATCATCTTTTGCGCACATTACTTTATTAAATTTTTCTCAAATAAATATGGAGTGAAAATCATCTGCTTCATATAGTTTCAAGAATAAGAAGTAGAAAGAAAAAACTAAGGGAAGATTACATCACAATACAACAATGGTTTTCACTTATATTCCTGAATTTTGATCAGATGTGAATCTGGAAGCTTTCCTTGTCTTGTTCCTTGATTCTTCCAGGTTTTCTGCATTCTGTAATTAGGCGTATTTAGCTGAGCTAGGAGAAAGCACGTGCTGAATCCTGATCATGGTGGACTCCTACATCCATGCATTCTCCAAGACAAAAACACAGGTCTCTTCACACCATAGGGTACAGGAAGGGGACAAGAAATATAAGAAATTCAGGTAACTTGTAAAGGATATACCCTCAAAATTTTTATAATCATGTTCTTAGAACTCTTCCGCTTTGATTTAGAAATGAAGTAACTAAACCTGAGTACGTCTTAAACTTATATTAAGGATGAGATTCAACACCTTGATCTTTTTCTGTCTTTGATATAAAAATGAGTAGCATGCTGACTCTTTGGCTTGGGATGCATTCCTCCCCTTAAGTCGTCTCACAAGGTCTTCAGGGCAAAGCCACAACTCTAAAGGAAAATATGCATTTTTGAGTCCCTCCAGATTATGTGACATACTTCTGTGCGACATAGGAGAATGCCTAGTAGATCTTATCTTAGCAGAAATCAGAAACAATGCTTGGAAACAAAGGGGAATGTATGAATAAACTGATATACATCCAAATAATTTAATACTCTACAGCTGGAAGAATAAAATGAGAAAGCCTCGGTAACCTGCTATGGAATAATCTCCAAAATATGGTTGGAATAAGGCACAGGATTGTACCCAAAGTTGGTTATGAAGGATTAGACACAGAGATAGTGTGGTGACAACAGAAATCCCAGGCTTTGTGGATTCCCAGATGTTCATTAGAAACCGGTATTTAATAACTAAGGGAGGAACATGAGGTCTTTTAGAAGAAACGTAGTTTCTTTCCTTTTGGAGGTAGCACCCAAAGGGATCAGTCCTCCTACCCGTCTGGGTGTTGGTTCTTTTCTTCTGTGTTAGACACTTTGGAGAAAAAAGAGCAAATGAAATTTATTATTGGGAATCCCCAACCCTTCTCAGATTTACTGGTTTTTTTCTTAACCAGTTGGGATAAAGAGTGAGACGGCATCACTTATTTCCAGCAGATATATCTTTATGATAAAGTCTTAAAGAGAAATCAAGGGAGGACCAGATGACTAAGTTAGATGTTGATAAGAAAGGTTGAAAATTTCCTTTAGTGGAATGAATTACGACATGGTTAGATGGTTAGTGAGGGATGAGTATTTTCAGAGTAAGGTAAGATGTAGAGTGAGGTTTGGAGGACCTGAGCATCTAAAGTGAAAGAGACATGTTGCCTGGATTTTCATGTCTATATGGGAAATCTCTGTCTAATATTAAAAGCATACATAAAAAGCTATAAGCTGATATCTCACTGCTATTCCTGTTGTAGAAGAATTGGGAACTGTGAGAGAGATCTATCCCAACTCTGTTTGCCATGGGCTTATCATGCACAGATAAACGAAGGGAAAATCGAATAATGAATTACTGTTTATTTCCCACCAGGCACTGAATTATGCACTTCCAGATACTTTATTTTATTTAATTCTTATCATAGCCTTGCAGTCGGTGTATTATATCACAGTATGTTTGCAGTTAACCGCTGCACATTAAAATATGTTGATCACCTAGTACTCAATAAATATTGATTACGGGGGTCTGTTCAGGAAAGCAAATATTTTGCATTTTTAACACTATATAGTGAAATAGAACACACATACAGAAAAACACATAAAGCATAAATGTACAACTTAATTGATCATTATAATGCCAACATCCATGGAACCACCACCCAGATAAAGAAATAGCACACTGGGCCTGGAACCCAGAAGCCTCAATGTGACTTTTCCTGTCGACACTGCTCTCCCTTCCCACCAACATAACTCACCATCCAGACTTTCACAGCAATCACGTCTTTGCTTCTCAGTATACCTTCAAAACCTGATATGTATCCCTAAACATGCTTAGTGACAATATATAAACTGAATGTTATAGTATGTTCTCTTTTGTACCTGTTTTGTGATCTAATTATTTTCAATCAAGTAGCCAGGAAATAATGGGCTTGCCAATAAATACTGCTGGATCGACTGAATACACTTATCAAAAAAAAAAAAAAATGAAATTTGACACATCTCACATCATACACATATTAATTACAGTAGAATTGTATATCGATATGTAAAAAGCAATAAAAACTTCCAGAAGATAATATTAGTGAATATCTTTAGGACCTTGAGATAGAAAACAATTTTAAGAATCAGATCTAAAATTCAGAAAAAGAAAAGATTATCAGTAGTCACAAATATACTTAAATAGAGAAAGTGCTGTGGTTTGAGTGTGTTCCATGAATTCGTGTGTTGGAAATTTGGTGCCTGCTGTGGTGGTGTTGGAGGGAGAGCCTTTAAGAAGCAATTAGGTTCTTAAGAGGGATTAATTCCACTCGCAGGACTGGGATAATTCTCTGGAGAATGAGTTCTTGCTCTCCCAGGACTGAATTAGTTACTGTGAGGGTAGGTTGTTATAAACTGAGACGGCCCCACACGTATTGCCCCTTTTGCATGTGCCTGCTTCCCCTTCCACTTCTCCACCATATTATGACGCAGCATGAGGTGTGAGAGGAGATATAAGGTACATGCACCATATTTTCTTTATTCATTCATCCATTGATGGACACGGGTTAATTTCATACCTTGGCTATTGTAAATAATGCTGAAATGAAAACTTGAGATCAGATATATAAATAATGTGAGTTCAGATATCTCTTTGACACTGATTTCAAGTCCTTAGGATATAAACCCTGTAATGGGATGGATGGATTATAGGATAGTTCTATTTTTAGCTTTTTGAGGGCCCTCTATACAGTTTTACATAATGACTGTACCAATTTACATTCCCATCAACAGAGTACAAGGGTTCCCTTTTCTCCACATCCTCACCAACACTTATCTTTCATCTTTTGGGTGATAGCCATTCTGTGAGGTGATATCTCATCAGAGTTTTAATTTGCATTTCCCTAATGATTAGTAATGTTGAACATTTGTTCATATATCTGCTGACTCTTTGTATGTCTACTTTTGAGAAATGTCTATTCAGCTCATTTGCCCATTTTTAAATCAGGTTGTTTTTTATACTACTGAGTTTTTTATGGTCCTTATATATTTTGGATATTAACCCTTATCAAATGTATTGCTTGCAAACATTTTTTCCCTGTAGTGACGTTGTCTCTTCACTCTGTTGTTCCCTTTGTTGTACAGAAGCTTTTATTGGATATAGTCCCATTTGTGTATCTCTGCTTTAGTTGCCTGGTCTTTTGTGGTCAAATCCAAAAAGAATCATTGCCCAGACCAATGTTTTATACTTTCCCTCTAAGTTTTTCTCTAGTATTTTTATAGTTTTAGGTCTTACATTTAAGTTTTTTTTTTTTTTTTTTTGGCTTTTTGTCTTTTTGTCTTTTTTACTGACCGGTAACAGGATCGCAACCCTTGGTGTCACGCCCGTACCGGGGACCAGCAACAGGATCACAACCCTCAGTGTTGCGCCTACACTGCACTCAGCCAGTGAGCGGGAACCGGTCTCCACATGGGAACCGAACCCTCGGCAGGAGCACCACCGTGCTCCCAAGAGGTGTACTCTCCAGTGCGCCACCGGGCCGGCCCTACATTTAGGTTTTTAATGCATTTTGATTTGGTGTTTGGATATGGTGTGCGAAAAGGGTCCGGTTTCAGTTTTCTGCATGTGGATATCCAGTTTTGTCAACACCATGAATTGAAAAGACTGTCCTTTTCTCATTATGTGTTCCTGGTACCCTTGTTGAAAATAGATTGACCATAAATGCATGGGTTTATTTGTGGGCTCTCTTTTCTGTCCCACTGGTCAGCAAAGGAAACAATAAATAAAATGAAAAGGCAACCTGCAGTATGGGAGAAAATATTTGCAAACTATATAGCTGATGAGGTATTAATTCCAAAAATATATAAGAAACTCTTACAACTTAATAAAAAAGTTAAATAACCTAATTTTAAAAATGAGCGAAGAACTTGAACAGACATCTCTCCAGAGAAGATGTTACAGATTGAATGTTTGCACCTGCCCCACCCCCAATTCTTATGTTAAATCCTAACCTGCAATATGATGGATGATGGTATTAAGAGGTGGGGCCTTTGGGAGTTGATTAGGTCATGAGGGTGGAGTCCTTGTACGTGGGATCAGTGCCCTTATAAAAGAGACTCCACAGAGTTAACTCTGTGGAGTCTCCCTCGCTCCTAACACCATGTGAGGACACAGCAAGTGATGATAGTCTGTGAACCAGGAGGTGGGCCTTTACTAGACACTGACTCTGCCAGCACCTTAATCCTGGACTTCCCAGCCTCCAAAACAGTGAGAAATACATGTTTGTTGTTTAAGCCACCAGCCTATGATATTTTGTTATAGCATCCTGAACAGACTAAGAAAGAAATAGACTAATAACAGGTACATGGAAGGATGATCAACATCATTCACTATCAGGGAAATCAAAACTACTATGAGATATCACTTCACACATGTGGATTGGCTATTTAAAACACACACACACACAAATAATTGTTGGTGTGGTTGTGGAGAAATTATAACCCTTGCTCACTGTAAGTGGAAGTGTAAAATGGTGCAGCAGCTATGGAAAAAAGTATAGAGATTTCTTTAAAAGTCCAAATACAACTGTCACATGATCCAGCAATCCCACTGCTGGGTGTTTATCCAAGAAAATTGAAATCAGAATCTCAGAGATTCTGTGCACTCCCATCTTCATTGCAGCATGGTTCATAGTAGCCAGGATACGGAAACAACCAAACTGTCTGTCAACAGATGAATGGATAAAGAAAATGTGGTGTATACACACAATGGAACACTATCCAGTCTTAAAGAAG